TCCTTCTCTCATTCGTAAGGACTCTTTACACCACTTCCATCTGGAAAAAAGCTATGGAGCATCCAGGCAAATTCCTTCAGACTCATGAACAGTTTCTTCCCACAGGCAGCCAGACTGCTGAACAGATCCACCTGGTAGACATTCTCACTGAACTGATACCTCACTTTTAATCTGACCACTTAATCTTTGTTGTTGTACCACTAAAGACAATTATTTATCATCAATGCATTGATAATAATTCAAGCACAACTATTATCATTGCTGTAGACTAACAACTGGTCTATTTTCCACCAATCCTTTGTTCAATGGCTAGTCTTTACTGCCTCTAGATAATGGATGTATAGTTGTAGGCTATAGCAACTGTATACTGTACAAGAAAGTTTATTATATAGTGTTTACATAGTTTGTCTGTATTTATTGTCTGTGACAAATGACAAAGCTGGTTATGACTTCTAAATGGCTTCCATCATTTCAATACAATGCAAAAAAAAGAAAGAAACTGCATTTCCCACAAACTAAACTTTCAAGTTGCTTTTGAATTGCATACTTCTACACTGAGGTGATCTACCACCCAGCGAGTTTAGGTTTACCTGATCTAGGTAATGAAGGCCTTCAGGGACACTCGCGCCATTTGCCAGATGCTCTGATTCACAGCAACTTACAATTTGAATATTTTCAAATGTAAGCAGAGGAGTCATGGATACAGCGTAGGGATCAAACCCCTGTCTCTGGCCTGGATCTGAACTCTCCAGAGCAGTAAATTTCCAGGACCAGCACCTTATCTAAAATCAAGCACTACAAACTTCTTGTCAGTGGAACATAATACTGTTCTTCAGCACTTAAAGTTGAACAACCACCTCAGAGGACATGTCCTTCCATAGTGTTGGGATTGAACAGTATCTAGTGTTCGCACCGTTTTTTGTGTCTGTATGCACTATGACATCTGAACGCTTGTCATCTATTACTTAATGAACACTATAGTTGCAGACACACTCTGACCCATCTCTTTAGAGTACAAGTATATGATTTCAGAAGTAACCTAAATGATGGTGACACTGTGATGAATGTAATAAGTGGCAGAATGGATAATGGTTTGATTAAAAGGACAGGAGTCAATAGATTAATCAATTATAGAAACAATCATAAAATAATCATTAGTTGCAGTCCTTTAATTGCTGAACCTTTCAACAGAAATGTCCACTGCTTGTATGTTACCTGAAACACCAAATTGCACTTCACAAAGCTTTTACAAAGTTTTTGTTTGCTTTTAGTGCTGTGTTGCTTGCACTGAACATACTGTTCCACACAAAAAGGATATTTTAATTTTTCATCTTAATAGATATTAACAGAATGTATTTGCTAATAAATACACTAAAAATGGTTCTTCACTGGTAGAACCATGAACACTCAAAGAACCATTAAATGCATATAGTTCTTTGCATGAGCAAATAGTTCTTTTCTATGATGGAAAACCAGTATATAGTTTTTGAAAGAACCCTTTTAAAATGGTTCTATATAGCACCAAAACAGGCCATTATTGTTACAAGTCAAAAAACCTTTTTTCAGTACCATATAGTACCCATTTTGCTAAGAGTGTAACAGAATTTACAAGCAGATTGAGAAGTGTTTAACAATAAAACTAACGCCATTGATGCATCTTCCATTATTCATTACACCACTACACCACTGAGGGGCGCCAAATCACTTCTCACTTCTACTGAAAGGCATAAAGCAGAGCAGAATCTATCAGAGCCGTGTGTCCCAACTCCTGGAGGCCCACTGTTCTGCACACTGTAGTGTTTTCCCTATTCCTAACACATCTGATCCAACGAATCAGCTCATTAACAATAACCTCTTACCAGACCCACTTTATGGGGGAGCCTGGCCAGTTCATGTTTCTCCCATTTGATCAAAAAGTGACTGGAAAACGCCAGAGGGCGCCCACAAGCAGTGGAGCTAAAAGGCTAAAAAGAAAAAGTTAATGGTTTCTAGATATTTATGCAGGGACTTAAGCTAATTTTGCAAGGTAGAAGGATATATTCCATTAAACCTTACCAGTATCTTTCCATTTTTCTACAGCAAACTGGTTTTGGGTAGAGGGATGCTGAGCTAGTGAGCTGATCAGCTTATTAAACATATGTTAATATTTTAATATTTTAAGTGGGCATAGTAAAATAGGGGAAAAACAAACTGCAGGGCAGTAGGCCTCCAGGACCAGAGGTAGGAAAAACTGTTCTGCAGTTACATTAACACTTAGTTATGTGTCCCCTTAATGACAGCAATCCTGTCTGGTTAGTAACTTTCGTTAGTAACGTTAGTGCCATTCTTTCACTGACTTTGTGCTTCAGGTCAAAACAGAACACAACATTGTCATTCCCCTATTAAAACATGACAACTGTAGTGTGTCTGTATGTGACTGGTTTAACAGACATGATGAAGCATATGATGCAGATGTTCAGATGCACATTCATGTATTAGATTTTTTCTTGTTGTAGGTGCACAGAAACAACAGTTTAGATACAAAAACCATAGAACACACAGCATATAATAATCACTTGCATGCACAAAGTACAATTAAATGCAATTGGAGTACATGGCCCAAAAACCAAGTTATTACGCTGCTTTCTTCAAGACTGTGAAATTACAATATATGGTGACAAGAAGCTCATATAAGTGTGATGGTCAGGTCTCCACATACTTTAGGCCATGTAGTCTGTATGTTCCCATTATATAGACTTCATGGCCTAAAGTATGTGGAGACCTGACCATAACACTTATATGAGCTTGTTGGACACCCCATTCCAAAACTCCTTTGTGGCTAAAACAGCCTCCATTCTTCCTCTTAGAAGGAAGAAGACAAAAGAGCTCACAGTCGATGTTCCAATTCATCCCAAAGGTATTCATGGGGGCTGAGGTCACTGGAGGACACAGGAGTTCATTCACAACAACGTTGTCAAATCATGTCTTCATGCATTTGCTGGAAAAGGACTTTCTCCAAACTGTTACCACAAAGCTGGGAGCATATAATTACCTAAACTATCTTTGTATGTTGTAGCAGTAACATTACCCTTCACTGGAACTTGGCATCCACCATACCATCAAAACTGCCAAGTAGTGAAGCATGATTCATCACTCCAGAGAACACGTAATGACCATTCCAAAGTCCAGGGATGCTTCACACCACTTTATTCAACACTTGGCATCGCACTCACTGATCTTAGGCTTAAGTGCAGCTGCTCTGCCATGAAAACTCATTTCATGAAGCTCCTGATGTACAGTTCTTGTGCTAATGTTTCTTCCAGAGGCAGTTTGAGACTCTGTAGAAAGTGAACAGAAGACAGATCCTTTCTAATGTGCTGCGTGCTTCAGCATTGAGTTCGCATGGTTTACCACTCTGTTGCCCACTGCGCCTAGATGCATCCATCTCACAGTAGTAGCACTTACAGTTGACTGGGGCAGATCTAGCAGGGCAGAAATTTCACAAGGTGATTTGTGGCAAAGGCAGCAAAAGTTGGAAAGTGATACACCTCTGTTCTCAGCAAACATTTTATTTTTCATTTCCCCACAAAATAATGAGTAGAGAGAAAGAAAACAAGAAACAAAGACAAAAAGAAAGAAAAACAAAGCACTAGCCAAGCTGAACAATTAAGAAGATTTGCAATGACTGCAGAATGCATTGCCCGTACTGTCTTCAGTGTGCAGTATTAAAGCAGGCCAGCTGTGCAGCTCCTTGTGGGTGTGGGACAAGGGGCTCATCTCAGTCGATTGCCAAATTGTGGAGTACTGCACAAGCGCTGATGATGTTGCTTGCTCTCTGGTTCGCAGTCCAATGATGAGACAAGCAATCACTTAAAAAAATCGTCATGGATACATCTTTTATTGAGTAGCTACTCAGTTTTAGCAGATGTGTTTTAAATTTCGAGCAGCCAAATAGAAGTAAATGACACAGCATTGTACACAGTGAAATCCAGTGACATGCACAGACTTTGAGTAATTTCCTTTGCTGTTAGGTTAGATATGAAATATAAAAAATGTGTTTGTGTGTGTGTATGTGTCTGAGAAATTTTAAAGGATGAAATGTCATATTTTGACTGATATATATATGAGGTGTTTTGTTTTAGCTGTGCTGAAAATTAATGAAATTTAACCTTTGTTAAACTGAGACTTAACAGTCTCAGTATGAGCCATTCTACTGCCAATGTTTGTATGTAGAGATTGCATGGCTATGTGCTTGATTTTATACACCTGTTAGAAATGGATGCGGCTGAAACGCCACAGCTCAATCATTGGAGCAGTGTCCACATACTTTTGGCCTTATAGTGTACCTTGGTTATATACATTCATCTATTTTTCTTTCCATCTGTATTACCAACTGCCTACAGCACACTCCACTCTTTTTCTTTTCAAACACAAAGGAGACTGGCTTCCCATTGCTGTCCTTGGTTCACTTATTTAGGTCTGTTTGACAGTACAGTGACAAATGAAAATGTGAACATCCCTTCCACTCACAGCATAAAAAGCAACTTTGTTAAGAATGACAAAGGATAGCAAATCTCCCCATGGACTGTGCTCATCTGGCTATTTTTGCCTATGGTTGTTCATAGTTCTAAGTGTTTTAGGAGTGTCTTTTTGACAATGGAAGGCCAAATGAAATTTTTTGTTGGAAAACTTCACACGCACCCAACATAAAAAGCAAGTGTGCCTTAGGCTAGCAAAACCTCAACAAGTCTGTGTGTTCCTGCCCCGGCAACCATCTACTCCTGCAGTAATGCAATACAAAACAATATTAGTTAATCTGACTTAAATCTTCCAAGCTAGCTAACTTGTATATAGTGTAGCTAGCTATATTTGTCAAAGCACAATATACATACAACTGAACTAGCTAAAAGAACAAAAAAAAATTCTATCTAAAAAATAAATATATATGAAGAATCGTAGGACATGGCCCTTTAAATCTGAGAATCCGCCTGTAGGTGTCAGTAAGGCGCTGTTCAGTGTAGTCTGCAACACACGCGTGAAAAAGAGAAGGTAAACAGCTCATTGGAAGACACAGCTCAGGCGAATGGTGCTATGTCGTCCAAGGTGAGAAATTCTGTGTAATATAAAATAACAGCTTAGCTACATGTGTAGTATGTGCGAATAAACTGTGCTATAGATTAAGAAGTTGCTCACCCAGCTGATATGACTCGGCTAGAAACAAAAAAGGCGCACAAGTTAGCTAAAGCTAGCTAAGTTAACTGGCTGCTTAGTTAGTTTTAGCTGTCGTTTTCTACTCATAAATTTCTTAACTGCCAAATTTATACTTGTTTTTTCTGCTTAATTCACTGAAAGTTTGTGGAGCCACAGGTGGATCGTTTTATTGACGGACGGTTTTGACTTTTTTTAAGAACCTAAAACTCCTTTAGGCATCAAAACGCTCCTCTTTTAAAATCCTTGTAAATCTTGTCCTCAGGTTATCAAAGTGGTGGCTGTCCCAGTAGTTCTGGGCTTTGCCTCGATCCGGGTTTATGCCATGAAAGAAGCAAAAACGGAATGTCTGCTCTCTCCTCAAGAGGTATTGGAAAGTAATGGAAATGCGTCACCCATTCACTGATTTTGGAACTTATTATCAAGCCCTTTATTAGTTGGATCAGGGGTGTTGAGGCAGGGAATTGTTGAAACTCTGCAGTGCTGTGGAACACCAAGAGCAGGATTAAGGAATACTACATCATTCACAGTCATTCAGTTTCTGACCATAGGGCTATAGCTGTTAACAGGACCCTTATTCATGAAGCTTCTTAGGGTAGGAAGGTCGTCATATATAAGAGAAGAACCTAAGACCAGCTCAGCACTCCTACTCTGAGAAGCTTTATAAACACGGGCCCAAATATTGTTTGAATGGTGATAGTCCACTCTCCACGAACACTGATATGGTAGTGTGTGGTGCTAGTACCAGCATATCACAGAAGCATAGACATCTGAAGTCATGTTATCATATTAGGGTCTAAACAAGTTTCTCTATGGGAAAATGAATGCCATTTTTGAAAATTGCTGCTATCAGGCCCTGTGGTAACTAAAATGTCCCAAACTGATAAGCTTTGCTATACATTTTTCCTTTGATCTTCTAAACTATAAGGAGTCAAATTATGAATATTGTTCCATGCAAGATAACACTGCTGCACACTGAACTGACATCAGAAGACTGGCAACCTCACCAAGGCTTGTCAAATGTGGTAGTTAAGTTTTGCAGTACTAGCCTACATTTGAGTGATGTTGTTATAATAGTGTTTAAGTTTAATAGTAGTCTTACTTTCATACAGTGTCATTTCAATGTGCAGGAGTGGCGGCTTGCTTGCAAGCATGTATGTAGCATTATTTGTTTTCCAACTACTAAGTGACCCCGTAATTTAGAGGATACAATAACATTTTAGAGGAAAACATAGACAAAAACATATCTAGTTTGGAACCGTTTCGTTAACTGATTATGGGGTCCTTCGAATACTCAGTTAACTCTGTCAGCAAGGTGGACCTACAAGGTATTTCTGATAAAGATGCAAGTGAATATAGGACAGCTGTTTTTGATTGTTAGTCTTTGTAATGTTTAGCTTCAGAAATGTTTGTCTCCATCTTATCAGTGTTTGACCTTGTTTTTTTACCTTTTTCTTTTCCTCACAGCTCTCAATCTACCCTGTTGAGCCACAAGAAAGGCTTTACTATGTGGAGGAAGAGCCAGGAGCTCTACAGAGTGGTCTTGGAAAAGTCAGGGGAAGTCTGCAGTCCTATATGCAGAATATAAAAGTATGAACATTGTGGTACCTTTTAACCATGCAGTCCCACATAAAGGGTAAAAAACAAATGCTAAAAATATCATCTGTCAAATCAGTCTTGTTCTTCAAAAACATTTGGCCCGACTGCAGAAATTGCATTTCTTCTCCATTGTCAATCATTAGCCAAGTTTCCACCCAGCTGTCAAATTAAATCCAAGTGAACAACTGCTGTGTTAAAAAAAATAAATAAATAATAATAATGTTTTCATCAGCTCTGTACAAGTGAAAACTTTCTGTGCCATGCTCAGAAAACACTTCTGAGAAATAGGAGGAGAGCAGTTTCTCACTGCTGTATTGTTTAATTTTATGGCCGTATTTTATATTTATTTATTTTATATTGTACAGGTGCCTCAATTAGCTTCAGGTGCTTTGCTGTCAGTTTACCATTTAATATCACAGTTATTTATTTGTTTATTTTAAAAAAGGGAATGGCAATTTTAATTTCTTTGTCAGCCCACTGGTATCTGCTGCCTTCTGTCACATTTAGTATTTATTTGACATTTCCTTTTTATTTTATATGCCAAGGTACACATAAAAATACATAGATGGAACCTCTTATTTCAGTTCTTACAGTAACTGTTGCATTGGCATTTCCACTTAAACACAGTTTGGCACTTGTTGTTTAGGTATGTGAACTGTGGATTGATGCAGCAGGAGCATTCATGAGTTTTACGTTTAGTAAATGAATTTGCATTACTGCCATTCTAGGAGTCTTTGGAGTGGGGGAAAAAATGTCGGGTGAAAAAATTGATTCTTGAAATGTGCATTTTGCTCTAGTGCATTAACATTTGTGCCTTTTTGTTTATTCAGAGCGTTTTTGTGTCAGCTAAAGTAACAGGTGTGAACCTCTACCACGGAGGCGAAGGTGAGCAAGAAACACAGACTGGTTATTTATTTCCCATATGCATTAAACTGAAATGAAAAACTTTTCATTTGTCACATTTTGTGTTCCTTCACAGATATCTACCACTTCCTTAAAGATCCTCCCTCAGGATTCATCCCCAGAGTTGCTGTGATCACTTTGTCTGGCCTGGCTGGTATGATTCTTGCAAGAAAAGGTGAGTCAAAACAATGCAAGCCTTCTCAGAATGTTTTTTACATTATGCGTATGTTTGAAAAACAGAATCTGCACTGAATATGTTTTCTTCTTTTCTTTGGGGGGGGGCGGCGTTCAGGGTCACGTCTAAAGAGACTGGTGTTTCCCTTCAGTTTGGCCACGGCAGGGTTTGCTGTCTGTTACCCTATACAGACCATATCCATCCTGAAGGTGAAGTGCTTTTGTTATATAGCTGTTCTGTGGCCCCTGGCAGTTGGTAGTGTTCAAGGTCTGTTAAATTCCCTCCGTGTTGTGTTCTTGTCTTTCAGGTGAGTGGAAAGAAGATTTATGCAGCTTCTCATTGGACAAGCTCAACTGTGGCTTCACTCTGGAAATCACCTGCAGCTGTGCCAGTCAGTTCAGAGGTACACACATGTACACATTATCTTTTTTTGCATTGATGTGTTGGTCTTCAGGTCATGTGAATGTATTAAAGGTCCTTTTCCTTGCTTAATAAATTCAGTAGCTTCATTGCTGAGTATCACAAAACTTTCAAAAATGTGTACCTGTGTTCTCTGGTGATATTGTGGTGATTGCCAACATAAATCCTATGTATAGCCTCTGTTTCTCTGTAGGGCCATACAACACTTTTGGAGTAATGGTTGCTGCGGCACCGAAATACACAGTTTGGCACAGAGTGCTTACAAACCATAGCTAGTAAAGTACAATTAAATGGGTGGGATGGCTTGAAGACTTGGGTATTCGCTGATTGGTTTTTATATTTATGGCCCGTTTGTGATGGCACATCACGCCAAGCAACAACAAAAACTGTTGCCTATTTACTACACTATAGTATTGTGAACCATAGCATCACTTCGTGTCATTTTTCTTAGGTGCCTCCTAGTCCTGCTTTAACAAAACTTGTCGGGGGGGGGGACTGTAATCATTCACATGAACCATTCGATCCTACACTGAAAAAGAAACTTAACATGCATTTTGTGATTGTTCCTTTGTTGGCCCAAAAAATCACCAGCATATCAACAGAGAGACATTAAACCATGTCACCTCTAAATAAACATTTGGTCCTTTGTGGTCAGTCACCTTTATTCACCCTTTCTTGCACCCTTAAGTCGGCACCATCACCTGAAACTGTGGCCAAGGCTTCAACAGCACTGGAAGAAGTTGAGGCTTCAGGAACAGAAGAGGGTTCCCAAGAGTTTCCTCCCCCAACTAAGCCCAGCATGACTCCCATGCCTGAAGCACAGGCTACCCTCGTCCCACTTTCAGTCCCTATTCTCGCACAAGCCTCTGAGACAGAACACATTGTTCCCTCTGCAGAGGATGAACTCATATTGGTGACTGATGAAGAAAAGATCTCTTCCTTATCATCTTCCCAAACTGATGAGAGCAAACCAGAGATGTCATCTGTACAAACCTCAATAGAGAGCAAAGCTTCCACAGGTAGCTGTTTAAAGCCATTCTTTAACAACATAATACCAAAAATAAAGCAATAAACCATGGCAGGGACTTCATTTGTGTTAGGTATTACACTAAACCGAGATCCTGAAAGCCCCTTGGGGTGAAATAGCTGTTTTATAAACTGCCAACAAAATACAACATTAAAAAGCATTGATGTTCAATAAATGATTTAATGGTAGTCACAATAAACAGTTCTTCTGCCAGGCAGTGTAGTTTTTTTAACAGGCTATGGGCTCTGCTCAACATAAATGTTATTTTTTTATTTTTATTATTATTAATTTTTTTATATTTTGGCATCATAATACAGAATTCAGCTGATATGTGTGTGTGTGTGTGTGTGTGTGTGTGTGTGTGTGTGAGTATTTCGAATGTGTGTCAGCTAGTCACATTTTTTAACTGGAACTATCCATTTTGTTATGATTAGCTGAATACCCTGATGAATGCTGTTTATTGCTAAATGTTTATACTATTTCCTGACATGTTCTGGCAGTAGTACAATGTTTTCTTATGCTGTTGCAGAGAAGAAGATCCCCGGAGTAGATCTTAAGCTGATGGACTTTGGACAGTCTAACCCAGAGGACGCTGACCTTTATAGCACACGCAGCTGAAAAGAGCGAGAGCAAAGGAAAGATGACGTGTATCCATTCGCTCGTCACGCAGACAGGCTTTAGATACTTGATAGGGAAGTAATTTATTGAAGACTCAAATGGCTGAAATAACAAGCAGTACTGATATTCGAGGATTTGGATGACAATCTGTTGCTGAAGACATTGTCATCTGTTAGAATGACATGCATCCAGAAGTTGACTAGATGATTTTTAATTGTTGAAATTGCACTAAATTTGACAAATATTATTTTATATGTTGCAATGAAGTACTTACTGGTGTACAATTCTGTGAGTGATCTTGTGTTACTGTTGTTGAAATCCCAATGATGTGTCCACTTTGTTTCCAAAGAGGCACAAGTTAGGTTTGCACCTGTGAAGTTTTTTTATTCTGCCACTGAAAAAGAATTGTGCCAAAACATTTGGGTTTGCCTTGTGGAGGGGATGCCAGCTCTCTCGAATGGTACCCCTGAACATGTATATACAGTAAATAAAACATATCACAGTATAGTATGACTCCATATTGTTTCTTTAGCAAAGTGAAGACATACTAAGTTATAAAGTATTGAATCCAAATTATTTCTTGATTTATGTTCTCTTTTATTTTCGAAGACGGTGTCTTTTAGATGCCCTACAGGGTCTTGCTATTTGATGATATGGTGTTACCATTGCTCTAAGCTAAACAATTTAGAGCTTGAAAAGTGAGGTACTGAGAACAGTAGTAATAACATGATAGTGTTTGGTTAATCTGAATCTAAAAATGTGAAAGGGAACTAGAAGCTGTATAAATTTTAATGATATGCTGGAAAGAGAAAGGAAGATAGGAATTGAGTGAGGACACAGAAAATACATTTTAAGTTGGAGCTTTAAATGAAGGCCTGGAACAATTTTGCATTTCTAAACAAGCATTGGTTCTCTGGGACATACAACACCCACTACAAATTTGTACTACTGCTGAAGGGATGAAGTGAACTGCAGATTCCACTATTGTCAACAAGTGATGCGCAAAAACAGCTTAAGCGCAGTCTTATGAGCATTTTAGCATTGTAACTCACCATTCTGTGCTTTGCTGATGAACATGAAACAAGTCCATAGTTGAAAAGGATAGTGTAGGGTTTTTTCCTTCAATACAATATGATGAATTGCACCTAATATGAACAGAGACATGAACTAACAAGGTAAAAAATGTCTTTTGTCCTTTGTTTTCAGGTTGTATTGATTGGTTATGTTTGTGCAGCTACAGTCAGTAATACTTTTTATACAGCTTCATTTTTTATATTCATCCTCCAGTCCTATTCAGTTTTGTTTATCCCCATATAGTTCTTGGCCTTTCTATGACTGCCTTTTCATATTTGAAGTTGGAGCTATAAAACTAGATTAAATGGGCATTCTAGCATAAAACTATAGTTCAGTATGTTTTCATGTTATGCAGTATTATTAATAATGACAAGGGTTATGAACTAATAAGGTAAAAAAAAAACTTTTGATTATTGCCCAAATCTAGAAGATTTGTTGCTCAGTGCCATCTTGGGCAAAAAGGACCATCTGACTAACTCACAAAATGACAAACCACAAAATGTTTTTGCATGATGTGTAGGACTATCCAAAAAAAACCTCACAATGTTGTTTGGCCATCTGTAAGTATGCAAAGTTTGTTTACTTACTGCTTTAAATAGCTGGAGGGTTATCAATAGTAAAACTTGCTGTAATAGCAATTAAGGAAGTGCAAGACGTTAAGCAAATTTACTATTTAGTCAAAAATAGAATAGGCAGAAGAGCAAAACAAAAAAGGTTAATAAAACAATGCATATGAATCAGATGAAAACAATGGGTTTGGATGATCAGCCTCATTTTAGAAGTGAAAACATCTGCATTCAGGTTTACATATGACTGCTGTACAATAACCTGAAAACTTTGCTAAGCAAACCTGAATGCCATGATTCAGGTCACAGTAGTCTTCATAAACATGCAGAAAAAAAAAACAAAAAACAAACAGGACATGAAAATGCACTGAAATCAAAATAACAGAGGATTCGGTTTAATGCACTGTCGTGAGAACAGGTCAGTGGTCGTGCAGGGAGGGCATGTCCTTTCAGCATTGTCTCAAAGATAAGCTGTGACCATTTGGTTACTGTTTTTATGCTTGTAAACAGCAGTGATAACAGTTTGTAGCAGTTGATGCATGTTACAATGGCCACTTTAATCCCTGGAGAGGCATGAGTGAGATATTATTGCAAAAAGGATTGCTATTTCATAAAGATAGTTCAGAGTTTGGTGGTTCTAGCTGCAAAGATGAAGAAGCAACCTTAAAGCCAATATTTCTGTGGTTAGAAGCACAGTCTGTAGGATTGGAGGATGAATATAAAAATAGCTGTATATGCTGTTAGTGCATGTCCCTGCCCATATTAAGCTTGATTTATTTTATCATTTAAAAGACAAAATGTTTGTTTTCCCATATTGTTTGATTGAAGTGTAATGTGTGCACCAGCAGGCAGGCAAAAATAACATTAACCAATATCAGGTCTCACCTCCCACCACCCTGACCTATCACTGAACAAAATGCTCAGCTAGCTCAGATACTCTCAATAGTACTGCATTTCACACGGAAACACTTCACAGTATGGAAGGTAAAATTTCAGATTTTCCGAATTTTTATTAAAATATTGAAGATTAACTCAAAGCACATGACTTGTGCTTGCTTCCTTTTTTTTCATCTCCTCATCCTCCAATGAAAACCCTACTGATTTTGCTACTCCTTCTGAGCTACAGCCATCACGTCACATGAAATGTGCAAGACTGTATTTCACACAGAGAGCACATATCAAGCTATGCTTTGATTCATCCCTCCATAAGGTCATACAAACCCCCCAATAAATGCTACTTAAGCTGCAGCTAATAGAATTGGTAGAAAGATTCGTCTTTTGAGCCTACTCACATGCATGTATTTCATACTGATAGCACAGTGACTGTAATAATAAAGTAATAATAAACAATAAGGAAAATAATAATAACAATAAAGCACTTCACTCACCTTATACAACTGCACAAATGTCTAAATAAATGAAAAATTATTACAGATTACAGCACGCAGTGAAAACTTAATTTAGCATACTTATTTCAAACAGTAGCAAAATTGTTCTCCTTTAACATATTTATATTTTACATACACATCAGACACTGCGGTGAATAGTATCATCTGTTGTTTTTTTATTGGTGATTCAGGTTTTTTTAGTTTAAAATCAAGTGGTTGCTCATAAAAAAATAATTTGTCAAGCAGATCTTAATAGGAGTGTACTTTAAGACTGACGCATCTGATCATGGTGATTTTAAATAGCTCTGTATTCAAATGTATTGCTTTTATGATAAACAGATTAAAGTGCTTGGCTACACTGATCGTAGGTGGGTGGGATATAGGAGGACATAGACCAGCGGCAGTACGGAATGCAACCGTTTGGATAGGAGGCTGGCTGAGTGGCCCCAGGATCATGTTTTTACTGCAAGCCCTAATGATGCGCTCCTCCACAACCAAGAAAATTAATCCACCCAGATATCATCGCTTCCCATAAGCTGCATGGGTGTGCTCGTGTACGTACTTACACGTACGAAGATACAAGCAGGTACAATATATATATATATATATATAGTACCTGCTTGTAGTTTTTTGTTTGAGTTTTAAAGATACCAAACATTTGTATCCATATGTATCTGTTGGCTCTCACTCCCTTATGCTTCCTCTTATCTTGTTGAATATTCCACTGCTGTTGGAGAACACTGAGTGCTGAGGTCCAGGGTGTGTTCATAATAAATCTTGCTTTTTACTTTTACTCAGATTTCTGACTGTAATTGGAGATATACATAAATAACAGAAGCCCAGACTTTGTGTGTGCGTGTGTGTAATACTGTGTCACAGAGGATTTTTACTAGGTTTTCTAGGTTATCACACACCAACTGCTGCACTTTTCCATATAAACAGTCAATGAAGTTAAAAGAAAGGACATCTATGAAGGACCAAACTACTGTTCAGTAGAAAAGAACACATAAATATGTGCATGTGTGTAGCATAATTCATTGAAACTTTTTTTTGGGCCAAGATTTTAAGGGGTGGTAAGTATTGCTGCTTTTATCTCTGGTCCACAAGACAGGCCATTCAAAACTTGTGATCTCCCGTGGTGGAGATCATAGTACTTTTTGAGTTAAATGCTAGTAATTTTACTTTTACTGGTGTTTATTTATCTTAGCTATTGTAATTGACAATAATAACATTAAACTGTGTAACGTTAAGTCTGAGTATGCAATTAGCCACTTCACAATCTAAACAGTAGCCTCAGTCTACTGTGTTCTTTTATTATTTTCCTTTTACTTTGTTGTTTAAGAACAAGCATGACAATTCTTTATTAAAATATATGAAGTATATGATATGTCAAATAGAATTAAAATTCTCCTTATAATTAGTAAATACAGCCAATGTAAGGTGCACACATTGTACACAAATGGCTTTCACTGCACACACAGCTTGTATGATTTCTAAAGAAACACACAGCTAATAGAATGAATAGAATGGGATGCTCTGGAGCAGCCTCACATGAACCTAAGGTCATCAGGCCAAATTCCAACTGTCAGCTAGAGGAGTAGTTATATAACCCCCTAGCACTGGGTTGTGTAGCAGAGGAGCCCTGACGTGATGGGGCACCATTGAGTTGGAGTCCAGAACTAATCATTCAGCATCACTACATGACCTCACAATGTTCTTGTGGCTCACAGCAATGTCCCAACATCTAGTGAAAGTAGTGTAAAGACTTTCCAGAGGGGTAGAGTGGCTGTTGCTGCAATAAAGTTAAGACAAACTCTCTATTAATACTGATTTGCAAAGAATGTTTGATAAGCAGGCGTCTATAAACATTTTGACATATAGTGTATTTTCTGAGTCTTTGTTGTGTATCTATTTTCTAAGGTGAACTAATGCCCAGGGCAAGCTAATGAGTTAGGATGGTATTCTTAAAGCAGAGTTAGCTAGCATTTTATTTTATTGTAAAATGCAAATATCTTAATTTGTCACTGGTGTCACCCCTTAATGAGGCATTCTTTTTGTCATAAATCTATTTATTTTTTATTTACATTTTATATGATGGTATTTATTGAAGAAATTTAATTTGAACAATCATATTACCAGGGTTCTTTTATACACATGCACTAAAAAAAATCAAAAATACAGATTTTTTTTAGAATAGATTTTAACGTGATGTTGTGCAACTATTTAAAATCAGTTATAAAAATGATCTATGGCATTACTTTGACAATTTTAATTATCCAGCCATTAAAGCACATAACACCAGTGACACATAGAAGTTCTGTGCTGCCTAAAAACAAAACTATTAAGACTAAATTTATGAAATATAATAAGCAAGTATGGACTTGCCTTCTAATGCCTTGAGGTGCTTCCTCTCTGATGAGCCTTGACCCAAGGAAGCAGTTTAATAGAGCTGAAAATACTATGTTAAAATGTAATAT